TACCCACACACAAGAATGTAACACCTCCAGCTTTCTCCCCCCCCCCCCCCCCCCCCCCCCGTTGCTAATGACAGCCGAAAGAAATGAGCATAGCAGCAGAGAAGATGCAGAAGATATAAGATGTAGAAGATATCTTGAGGCTGACAGTGGTCGTTTAGTGAATCACAACGGTCACTAAGCAAATTATGTGGTTATTAAGCAAATCTGGGTTCCCCCATTGGCATTTTTATTGTCTTTTTTTTTTTTTTTTGCAGAAATCACGTGGCATCTGGATGCTTGGAAATATGATCCTGTTGCCACGTGCCTAAATTGTGATCACATGACCTTAGTTAGGAATAGTGTGACAGTTTTAAGTACAAGTCGTAAGTCCCTTTTCCCATATAATTTTGACATAAATTTCAACTGCCATTAAATGAAAGTCATAAGTTGAGGACTACCAGTAGAGGAAAAGAGAAAAGCTAAGCACACATTTGATGCTGCTCTAGTCTACCCATTCACTTATTTAACTCTGTGGCTGCTGAATAAACTGGCGTATACTGAATTGTACTTTTCCCATTGAAAACTTTAGCACTTAGAACTTGCATGTTTCACTTTAAAAGTAGAGTCTTAATACTTCCACTAACTCTCCTAAATATCAAAAGCATTGCTGTTGTGGTTAACATTATCAAAGCTTTGCTCATGTAATAGAGGATGTGGTAAGAAATGTTCTTTCTCTCTTTCTCTCTTTCATTTTCTCTCTCTTTCTTTCTTTCTCTCTTTCTTTCTCTCTCTCTTGCTTTCTCTCTCTCTCTCTCCCCCTCCCTTCCTCTTTCCCTTTCCTTTTCCCTTTTCTCCTTCCTCCCTTCCATTAACCAGTGGAATAGCTTGCCTTCAGAAATCGTGGGTGCTCCAGGTTTTTAAGAAGAAATTAGACAGCTACTTATCTGAAATAGTATAGGTTCTCCTGCTTCAGCAGGGAGGGCTGGACTAGAAGACCTCCAAGGTCCCTTCCAGGTCTATTCCATTCCATTCTTTCCCTTTTCTCCTTCCTTGCCCTTGCCTTCTTCACTAGGACTAAGAGAAGATGACTGGCCCAAGGTCACCCAGCTGGCTTTGTGCCTAAGACAGGACTAGAACTCGCAGTCTCCTGGCTTCTACCCTGGCAGCTTATCCATGACTACACCAAACTGGCTCTCCACTTCTGCTCCTTTCACATTATAGGCCTCCCATCTCACCGTTAAAACAATTTTGGGCGGCTTGCAAAATGATACCAAGATAAATATGAAAACAGTTAACCTTAAAGAAACTTAAATACAAACTAAAACCCAAGTGTGGGAGGTGATACAGGTGAGGTCTTCTCTCTTAGCCCATCAACCACCTTCAGCAAAGGACCGCCTACCCTGGGGCCCCAATCCACCTGCCAGACCAGGTTTTAAGGCCCTTCCAGAAGGCCAAAAGATTTGCAAGTTAAAACATTGATCTGGAAATAACTTAGTTTTAAATTGCGCACTCAGTTCATCCAACCTAGGATATCATTAAATTCCCTTCGAATGTTAGTGTTAAAAAAAAAAAAAAGTACTTGTATATCGCCAGTTCTCTCCTTGATTATGCATCATCTTGCTGCTTCTTACACCTGCTAGTATTAAACTTCCTTTTCACGGAAAAACAGTCCCTTGTTGCCATGGTGTGCAACCTTGGAGTTGTCCATGGTTGCATATTTTCTTTAGAAGTATCTTCTTTGACATTTAATTGCAAGCTTCGATCTGTAACTGTTCGGCTGCCATTCAGAAACGTAGAACTAAATTGCCTCTTTGCCATCTGAATAACAGAACAGAATTTAAAACACGGGTCTTTTAAAATATAGAAATGCAGATTGGCAAAAACGTTCTACTTGATGAGAAATAAAAGGGATAAACACAAGTAAAATCTATGTTAAATGGGCATAATTATTTTAGACGTAATGAGAGATGCCAATACATACTACATATTATATAATAACAATTATACTTCATTCATGATATTCTTGTTAGAATAACAGAGTTGGAAGGGACCTTGGAGGTCTTCTAGTCCAACACTTGGTTCAGGCAGGATACCCTATACCATTTCAGACAAAACACAAAAAATATGATACCACCATTGCCAAGTATTTGAATTTTAATCCAAATTTTTACTTGACTACAGGGATTACTTGACCACAGGGATGCTGCAATGGTCATAAATATGAAAAACAATCATGTCACTTTTTTTAGTGCCGTTGTAAGTTCAAATAGTCGTTAAGCAAATGGTTGTAAGTCAAGAACTCTCTGTACGTTTGAACTCTATCCTGGTCTTTGACTTCTAGCGTTTGGCAGGACTGTCCTGTACTACACGCCTGCATGAAAAATCTGACTTGAATGCAGTATTTGTGTGATTGCATCCTTATGCATGTGTCAACATTTGCTATCCTTCATTGCCTGCCTTTCTGACAGATCCGCCCAACTGCTTTTAAGTTGATTGTGCTGACTTTGTATAAAGTGAAACAAAACAGCATTTATATCTGTCAAATATATTTCCTTCTCCTTTGTAGATTTGAAAGTGGTGTTTAATAAGAGATGAGCAATTTCAGTGAAATGGCAACTGTCAAGAAAACAGCACGATGCTTCAACACAACTGAATCCTGAATCTTACATCCATCTTTCTTTATTGCTGTAATCAGCACTCTCTCGATTAGGGATCTCAATGCAAGAAAGCAAAAATAGCCTCTGTTACTAAATAATTTTGATGCCTTGGAGTTGTGCCAGTCTGGAACACTTTTAATTGTTTAATTATTATTAATTTTTGTTGTTATTTGATCGCTGTATGCTGCCCAGAATCACAATGTGAGATGGGAGGTTATATAAATTTTATAAATAAATAAACATCCTGTGTGGTGGCACAGTGGTTAGAATGCCGTATTGTAGGCTAATTCTGCTGACTGCCAGTTGCCAACAGTTCATCAGTTCAATTCTCACCTGCTCAAGGTTGACTCAGCCTTCCATCTTTCCAAGGTCGGAAAATGAGGACCCAGATTGTTGGGGACAATATGCTGGCTCTGTAAACCTCTGAGAAAAGGCTGTAAAACATTGTGAAGTGTATATAAGTCTAAGTGCTATTGCTATTACATTTTCACCGGTCAGATGGGCTGGTCACAACAGGAAAACTAAAATGGAGCTGACCAAGTTTGCTCTAACCTCCCTCCCCCACCTCTCCCTGGTGGATTTATTGATCCTCATTACAGGTAGTCCTCGACTTACAATTCATTTAGTGACCGTTCAAAGTTACAATGGCACTGAAAAAAGTGGCCTAGGACCGTTTTTCCACAATTATGACATTTGCAGCATCTTGTAGGAAGTTAGCACCCACCCCTCTCCTAGAAAAATGAAATATCCTGGGAAATATTAAAAAGGCAGAATAATTCCTCTAAAAAGAGCAGAAACTCAGAAGCAGAAATTCACCTCAGAAGTAGAAGCTCACCCCCACCTTTGTTCATGGGTGGGCCATTAAGGCCTGGGACAGAATAGTTTACATAACAAAGATCTCCAGGTAAAGCTATAGTAGTGGTCGAAAGCCCTTTCAGTGCATCATCATCCAGCAAGGCTCAACCAAGCTTGGAACTCAGGACAGCCTACAGAGTTGTCCCTGCATGGCCCCATGGGGGTCTGACAACCAATCAGAATACAAGCTCCAATTGAAATCCCAACAAAGAGTATAAAACTCAGGCACTCTCAGCACCTCAGCCCTTTCTTGATCTCTTCGTTGTCATCAGTTGACACTTTCAAGAAAAGATTGGACTGCCATTTGTCAGAAATGGTGTAGGGTCTCCCACTTGGGCGGTGGGGTTGGACTAGATGACCTACAAGGTCCCTTCCAACTCTGATTATCTGTATTTGTATCCTTCGCATTGAAGCATGTGATCATCCTTCCTTTTCACTCTGGAGCTCCAGGCCATGTGGAATTCAGCCTTCCAAACAGCCTCCATGTTTTCCAGTATCTTTTCCCCCACTTGGAACTGAACCCAGAAGGATATTTCTTCTAACAATCTCCATTGATCATGTGAACCAAATTCAGAGGCTTGGCCACAGGTTCCTATCTATGACCGTTGCTAGGTCCCAAAGTTACGCGACCCCCCCTCCCTTTTGCGACTTTCTGATCAGCAAAGTCAATGGGGAAGCCAGGCTCAGTTAACAACCGGGTTACCAACCACGTTACCAACCGCAGGGATTCACTTAACAACCGAGGCAAGGAAGCGTAAAGCGGAGCACAACTCAAATGCCTCTCTTAGGCACGGAAAACGTTCGGCTCCATTGCGGTCGTAAGTAGAGGTCTACCTGTTGTAGCCTTCACACTCTGGAACTCTCAAAGAGAGCGGGGCTGCGGGTGGGGGGAAACCGGCGACGGGGACTCGCAGCGGATCGGACAGACTCTTCTATATGTAAAGATTCTATGAAGCGAGCGGCTCCGGCGTGCGCAGCGTCTTCTTTTGGTTCCGCCCCCCTCGGGGATTCCCCCCGCCACCGTCACCGCCGCGGCTTGCCCCGTCGCCCTAGCAACGGGAGAAGCCTGCCGGCCCCGCCTGCAACTGCCGCCGGGCCGAAGGGGGCGTGGCCACGAAAGGCGGCAGCCGCGGCGGGAGGGCGGCCGAGATGAGAGGCGTCTTTCTCACCTGCGTGACTAAAGCCGCAGGGATCCGCAGGTGGATGGGAGAGTTCTGAGAGCCCTCCAGGTGAGCCCTTGGACCCCATGAAAAAGGGCGCCGGCCCAGCCCAAGGGCATTTTTTGAGGCGGGCGCTCTGTGTATGCTCAGAGGACCCCTTTCCTGATTTCTTCGGAATCGAACCAGCTTTTACTGCACCGAAAGGCTCTGGAAAGGGGAAAAAAAATCTTGCTATTTTCCTTCTCACACCCGTTTCTTTGCAAAAAAAAAAAAAAAAAAAGCGAGGGCTTCCAGAAAACTAAACTTTTCCCTCTGTTTTCCCTCTGTTTTAAATAGATCTGATCAAGACCAGGATGGAGAAGACCATAGAGGGACTGCAAGAACAAATGATGTCTAGGTAAGGTCGAAGGACAGACCACGATTTGACAGTTCTAAGACAGGGAGCAATTTTGGAGCCTTTGAAGTCTATTTTAATTCTCTCATTGAAACAACAAACCGAATTAAAAAGGATTAGCACAAAGTCATTGAACGAAGGAATACATAAATAGCAAGGCACATTTAGGAAGCCTTTCTTTAGAAGGGCATAGTTGATGCTTATCTTTTCAGGCTTCTCTGATTTTTTTTAGAGAGTGGAATGGAAAAGAGGAAACTTCAGATCATCAATATTGCTTGACAGCCTATTCAGAAGTCAAGCTGCTTTTTTTATAGCCTCTCCAGAGAGCCGATTTTACCTTTCAGCCTATCCAGAGAGCCTGTTGGAGGCTGCAAAAACATTCTTTTTTTTTAATATGGTATATTTTAAAAAAACAGAACACACAAAAAAACAAAATACACAAATGCAAGAAAAGACCAACCGATAAACAAAACAAAAGGAGAATATATATATGTGTGTGTGTGTGTGTGTGTGTGTGTGTGTGTATATATATATATATATATGTATATGTATGTATATGTATGTATATATATACACATGCATAAATATATATATATATATATATACATACATATATATATATATACATATA